AGAACAAGCCTCCCTATCTTCTGAAAGATAAAACCAGAAGAAGGTCCTTCAGGGGCCCTGTCTTTAGAAAGCACCAAGCAAGTGCATCAATCAGTTCTGCGGCACCTTCTCTGTATATTAAGTCCTTAACTGAATGCACTGTCTTTTCGCAGTTCCAGGAATGCCGTCTCTGTCTCTCTCTTTCTCTGTTTGCTGGAATCAATGCAATCCCCCTAAAAGCTCATAACTCGGAGGTAATTATAAGAAGCATCAATTACCCGACGATGTGGATTCCATGAATTCAATTAATTTGCATAGTGATCGATTCAGCCGGGTCCTTCCAGGCTCCCTGGAGAAAGTTAGGACATTGTTCTGCACGCTATTGATTTTACAATGTAAAACCAAACCGCGCTATCCTCTTATTCAGTGCTGTTCATTCAGCCATATTAACTTTCAGATCATTTATTTTTGTATGTCTTTCAACTCTGTTTGTTGCTATCACACAAATGCAGAGTATTACATTGTAGAGAATAATTGAATCAATACACAGTCATGGTACTTTGGGTCTCCCAGACTGCTGGCAAGAGGCTGCAACGAAGCTAGGAGAGGCTTTTTTTTCTAACCTTTCCAGTTATTAAAACGGTTGTCTGGCTTCATTATAACTTTCAGCGCTGCGCGATTGTTATTGTTTTGCTTGGCCTTGGAGTGGGAGAGGCAGGTGCTTTGATGAATAGGTGGAGAGGTTTTTCTCTCTATCCTCCATTGACAAGGCTGTTTTTGTAGCATCAACAGCCATTCCCCTCGGCACATTGCAACAAACATCACTTCCCCTCCTCCAGCAACAGAGCAGCGAGAGTGAGATCCTGGCCAGGCAAACAGAGCAAAAACATGTTCAGCTAAACAGAAAAGAGGGTCTGCTTCGCTGGGCCTCAGCAGACACAGAAGGAAGGGGCAGAATTGCTAGGATGAAGGATGGATGGGAAATCTCTGGGATGCAGTTATCCTCTTTGAACTTTCCAGAAAAATGACATGCACAGAGGAAATGCTCCTGGTTCACAAAGCATAGGGGGTTTTCTTGTTTTCTTTCACTGCAATTCAAACCAGACACTTGTTAAAATGTTTTCATCCCATGGCCAACCAAAACGCAACCTGCCACAGCTAATGCTTTGATGATCTTGCTTCCCATGAGATCTGCAATTCCCATCGTGGAGTTCTGCAGCAAGATTCCCTGCCATAGAAACAGAAGAGACTACAGTGAGAGCTGGCCCTGAACTTGCTTCCTTTCTCACTGGAAGCCAGCAGCAGGGCCATCATACCCATAGGCACTAGGGGTGCGGGACACCCGGGCACCGGACTCTCGGGGGTGCCAGGCCAAGAGTCCGGGGCCTGAGAGTTGAGTCCAGGGAAGAGCCCGTCTGTAGGTCAGAGCGCCACAGTGGACTCTTCTGCTGTGGGCGGCTCTGCGCCACGAGTTCAGGGGTGACCAAGCCAGCGAGACACTGAGGTGGCCGGCTGGCTCCACCCTCCTGCGCGCCTGGGACTGGGCAAACGGGGGGGGGCACCAGGCAGATCTTTGCACCCTGGCACCGCATATGCTTAAGACAGCCCTGACCAGCAGTGCTTGAAGAGAAGGAGAGCAGCAGGAACAGGACAGGGACACTGCTCTGAACTCATTCATTTATTTGTTTGTTCATTTTATTAGATTTCTTCTCCACCCCTCACAGCCAGTGTGGTGTAGTGGTTAGTGTGTTGGACTGGGACCTGGGAAACCAGAGTTCAAATCCCCACTCAGCCACGAAGCTCACTGGGTGACTGTGGACCAGTCCTCTCAGCCTGACCTACCTCACAGGGTTGTTGTGGAAAGTAAAGAAGGAGCAAGAACTATGCATGCCACCTTGAATTCCTTGGGAGCAAAATAGTGGGATGTAAAATAAAATAAATTAGAAGGTCTGAGGGCATGTCACAACAATAAAAGATGCAACTGCAAAGCAACCAAAACAGTTACAACTGTAAAACAAGTATGAAAACAATTATTGCTAAGGACTGCAATACTTCAAGGGTCACCTCTCCCCTTATGAACTGACCTGGACCCTGTGGTCATACTCTGAAACCCTTCTTCATGTGCCTCCAGAGGGCGGTGATACAGGAATGGCCCATTTTGTGGTGGCTCCCCACTTGTGGAATGCTCTCCTCAGGAATGCTCGCCTGGCACCTTTGCTACATATCTTTAAGCACCAAGCAAAAACATTCCTTTTCTCCCAGGTCTTTAGCTAAACAACCTGTGGCCTTTTAAACAGTAGGGGGTATTGTTTTTGCTTGTCACTATCGTATGTATTTTTGTGTTCTTATATTGTAAACCACCCTGTGATCCTTGGATGAAGGGTGGCAGAGAAACTTAATAAATAAAATAAAGCAAATTGAACTAAAAACAGTTGCTTATAGAAAAACAGTTACATGTTGCCGCAATGCAGATGCAGAGTAGGATAAAGATCTCCACTTCAAAGAGGAAGGACTTCAGTAGATGCCAGAGAAAAAAGGGAGACAGGGTCTGTCTAATATATAACTCATCTCTGCTCTGCTCCATTTGCCTGGCACTGGTTATGGTGTGCAAGGCAAACCATTCACCTCCTGTCCAGTTTTTAGAACTGGACCATCTTTACTGTGCAGTTCTTCTTTCCCTTGCCTCTGTGGTTCCTGGAAGCAACAGGTGTGTCCTCGCTTCAGAAACACAAGGATGCAATTTGCTATGAAGCAAAATGTGTTGGAGAGCTGGAAGGCAATGCGAAGGAAGTAGCACTCACCCACTGACCTGAAAGAGGTGCTTGCCTCCTTGTTCAGAGGGTTGGCACTCAGCCTCTATGTTCCCATATACACACAAGCATAGACACACACCAGGCAATGCTCACAGCCTTGTGCGTATCCAATCCACCTCACACTCACAAAAACTAACTGCAGAAACTTGGGTTCAAGTCCCAGCCCCTAAGCCAGCAGTTCTCAACCTGTGGGTCCCCAGGTGTTGTTGGACTACAACTCCCATCATCCCTGAGCTCTGGCCTTGCTAGCTAGGGGTGATGGGAGTTGTGGTTCAACAACATCTGGGAACCCACAGGTTGAGAAAGGCTGCCCTAAGCCATGAAGTGGTACATTGGATGGGTTTGGGCCAGTCTCTCTCTCCGCCCCCCTCTTCACCTAAGCCAGTGGTTTTCAGCCAGTGTGCCATGGCACACTGAGGTGCCTTGAATGATGGTCAGGGGTGCCAAAGGAACCAGGGGCTGCTGCTGCAGCTGCAGCTGTCTGGAAAACCTCCAAGGAGAGGGGAGAGGAGGCTGAGGGAACACTCCACAAGGGAGGGTGTTTGAAAAAGGCTGAGGGGCTGCCAGCTCTGCAGGCAAGAGGTGACATAACTGGGCTCCTGAGGTCTGGAGCACATTTCCTCACAGGGGAGTCACAGAAAAAATGTAGTTGGTCATGGGAGCCATGGACTCAACAAGGTTGAAAACCTCTGAACCAAGCTACCGCAGAGCAGGGCTGGGTGATATATCAGTACAGTGGTGCCTCGCAAGACGAAATTAATCCGTTCCGCGAGAGTCTTCGTCTAGCGGTTTTTTCGTCTTGCGAAGCAACCCTATTAGCGGCTTAACGGATTAGCGCTATTAGCGGTTTAGCGGCTATTAAAGGCTTAAAGGCTTAGCGGATTAGCTGCTAAAAGGCTATTAAAGGCTATTAAAGGCTTAGCAGATTAGATAAAGGGGAAAGCGAAAAAAAAATCTCTAGACTCGCAAGACATTTTCGTCTTGCGAAGCAAGCCCATAGGGAAATTCGTCCTGCGAAGCGCATTGAAAACGGAAAACCCTTTCGTCTAGCGGGTTTTCCGTCTTGCGAGGCATTCGTCTTGCGGGGCACCACTGTATATTGTCCCAAACCAGTTTAAAGTCCATATTGCGATATTGGTTTCATAATTTTGGACCAGGCAATATATCGTGAATCATGTGTGTTTGTGTGCTATGCAAAAATCACAATGTGGGAAAAACCATAAAGCCAACCAATGCCTCTTCATAGCGCCATCCTTATTTCAGACATTGTGATATATTGGTGTACCGCAATGTTTAGCTGGTGATATATCACGACGTTGAAAACCAGCTATTGCCCAACCCTACTTCACAGTACTGTTGTGAGGGAGAAGGGGAGAGAAACCATGCATACTGCCTTCAGCTTCCTTGAGGAAAAGGCAGAATATGATTAATAGTACAGCTCTTGCGTAATCATGAAGTCTCCCTGCCCCCACGCGCAGTCTCCGTGATGCATCTCAGAGGGGTTTCCCCCCAAACACAAAGTCCTACGCCTCCTCTGATAGGGCAATCAGCCTTCTCAAGTTCACATGCAAAGGTCCTGCAGTGTTGGAGTGCTCCATTTTATTTTTTAGAAAATGGAAAAAAGCCCTGCTAATTTTGCCTCTTGCTGGCTGCCAGCGGGACGCTCAGCTACACAGATTTGTTTGGCGTCAGAAAACGAAGAACACTTGTTGCTGATGGCTACATTTGCAGCTAAGCTGTGGTGAGGGGAGCAGCTGTGACTGAGAGACTGGCAGGGAGACAGGAGATTCAGGCGGCTTCCCCAGATCTCTTAGCATTAAGGAACAAAGGAAGAAGCTGCCTGAACCAGGTCAGGCTGTTTGATGTCCACTGAGAAGCCCAATATGATCTCTTCTGACGGTCAGCCAACTCTACTGGGTCTTAGGCAGCAAGAGGCCTTTCCAAAGACTGGCCACCTGGCCATTTTGCATTGAACCTGCGATTTTCAACATGCCAAACAGGTGCTCCACCACTCGACTGTAGCCTCCTCCTCTCCTTGATGGTTGTCACCCATTCAGAAGCCAATGGGGCTCGTTTGCATTTAGAGTTAAGGATGCAGGACCTCAGCTCCTGAAGACAAATGTGACCCTTGACACCTCTCTATCTGGCCCCCAAGATTCTCCCCAGGCCATATCCCTTCTCTCATGCTGCTCTGCCCCCTCTTCAAATGCTGGGATGGCTCAGTCAGTAGAGCATGATACTCTTAACCTCAGGGTTGTGGGTTCAAGTCCCATGTTGGACAAAAGATTCCTGTATTGCAGCCCTGGACTAAATTATTATTTGATTGATTGACTGATTGATTGATTGATTGATTGATTGATTGCCCATCTGACTGGGTTGTCCCAGCCACTCTGGACAGCTTCCAACAAATTAAAACATCAAACACAGTAAAACATCAACCATTAAAAACTTCCGTATGCAGGGCTGCCTTCAGATGTATTCTAAAAGTCAGATAGTTGTTTATTTCCTTGACATCTGACGGGAGGGTGCTCCACAGGGCAGGCATGGCTACTGAGAAGGCCCTCTGCCTGGTTCCCTGTAACTTCACTTCTCATGGTGAAGGAACTGCCAGAAGGCCCTCGGTGCTGGATCTCAGTGCCTGGAGATGCTCTTCAACGCTGATCCTTGGGGTCCCTTCCAACTCTACAGTTCTGTGGTTCTATGATTTTGCCTGGCTGGAATGTGTCCTCACACCGCAACAATGCCTCTGGCTTATCTATGTGGAGAGTGGGGATCTGTGAGATTAGTGTGTGCGCATATTGTGCGTAGCTGGAATGAGTCTCCTGTATAAAAGGTAAGAGTCACGTGAAATTCTCATTCCAGTGTTGCACCTGGCTCCACCCACCAGTGGTATGCAGCCTCCAGAAGGTTGCCCACCAAGGGCTAGAAAATGTTTCCTACTACTACTGGGATCGGAGGTGCAGTGATGCCTGGTGCATGTCAGAGGCCAGATGGACCCTTGTTGATCCTGCTGTGCTTCCCAGTGCAAGGGAGGAGTTGCCCTTCACCCAGCTCAACCTCCTTGTTTGGTGAGTCCAGTACCATACTCCCACTTTGCTTTTCATTCCATGCCAGGACCGACAGTGCCCTGGGGTACCCAGCAGAGGGCACAATGTCAAGCCGCACCCCACCTCCTGGCACCCCCTGAAGGCAGCTGCCTGTCCCTCCTCTATGCTTCAGACCCAGCTGATCCTCTCTCCCCCTTGTCTTTCTGTTCCCAGAACACTGGACCACACACATAAAAGTCGGGGGTTTCAGAGAGGGAAAACCTCTTGGAGGAAAGTCCTAAAGCAAGAAAGAAAAAGAAGTGTGTGTGTGTGTGTGTGTGTGTGTGAGAGAGAGAGAGAGAGAGAGAGAGAGAAGCCCTCTCCTTCAGATTCAAATGGTTAAGAAAAGAAAGGCCATTTTTTAATTTGGTTTCCCCTCCTACCAGGATATTAGACAGCTAAATAGCAATGTGCCTGTTTCCTTCAGATAACCAGCTCCCAACGAGGACCCTAATTGTCCCCGGAGTCTCTCTGCTGCCGTACCGAGTAGGTCATTTACTGAAACGTACACACAACTAAATAAAAATCCATTTTCCAAGCGAAAATTCTATTCTTATCAGAGTTCTGCAAGAGGGTTGCAAGCGGGCCGTGTTAATTGAAGCTTTGATGTTTGTTGGAGGGGGCCTCTAATCAGCTTGACAAAAGGCGCTGAGACTCTGCAGCATTGTGTGTGCAGCACCCGGCGGCAGGAGGGGATGCTGCCCCAGGAGGCTGGTGGCAGGGGGCCAGCTGGAAGCCAACCAGGCCCTCACCTCCAGAGCAAGAGGGGCGAGGGAGATGAAGGGGGTGAGCAAGAGAAGATGGGAAGCAGTGCCCCGTCCTTTTGAGTGGGGTATTGTATTCTCCACCAGGAAGGGGTACTCCATGGGCATGGGAGGGCATCAGAGACAGTGGTCAGGAGCCAACAAACAGTACCAGTCATTCTTTGTTAGTATATAGAGTTTGTATGCAACAGAAGAAGTTAACTTTATTTAAAGGAATCCTTGCTTGGAGCACACCAATAGTTGAAAGGTATTCCGTCTGAGACTTAGTATACCATAAGTATGCTTATGTTTATTAAGGGAAGTATACTCCTGATAAGGGACATGGGTGGCGCAGTGGGTTAAACCACAGGGCCTAGGACTTGCCGATCAGAAGGTTGGCGGTTCGAATCCCCACAACGGGGTGAGCTCCCGTTGCTCGGTCCCTGCTCCTGCCAACCTAGCAGTTCAAAAGCACGTCAAAGTGCAAGTAGATAAATAGGTACCGCTCTGGCGGGAAGGTAAACGGCGTTTCCGTGCGCTGCTCTGGCTCGCCAGAAGCGGCTTAGTCATGCTGGCCACATGACCCGGAAGCTGTAGGCTGGCTCCCTCGGCCAATAGAGCGAGATGAGCGCCTCAACCCCAGAGTCAGCCACGACTGGACCTAATGGTCAGCGGTCGCTTTACCTTTATACTCCTGATAGGAAAGAGTTTTATAGTCCTAGCTGGTTAGCTTTTTGGAGAAGCCTCACTTGCCCCTTTGTTCTCAAAAGATGCATCCAAGATGACCTCATGCCTCAAGGTCCAGAGAAAATGTGAGGAGGAGGAAGTTGTAAGCAGCATGTAATCTAAGGTGTATCAGTCTAAACTTCAAATGATAGATAAAGGTTAGCATAGAGGTTAAAGGTACCTGGGCTAGTATGACAATCTGGAGACCCCTTGCTCTATCTGTCTCAACCCCATGCAAATCCCCTTTTGTGCAACCTGTGTCGCACCCAAACTTCCAATACATCCTGTGTGCCCAAGGGGGCTGTAAAATTCTTTTTCTCCTCTATTAGTCCTGCAGCATGGCACATCATGGCACACCACCCCATTTGAAACCCAGAGGAGAACTTCTCAGGGGAGTAGGGGAGACTCTCCTACCCCATATATATATGTTGTATGATCAGTGCAATATATATTTTTTTTATCGTCAGTGGTTCAAGCCAGGGCAAACAAAAAGCAAAAAAACCCACACCTTGATACATTAACTGTTTCGTGAGCATCAGCATATGGTTTTAGTTCCAGTTTTTAGGTATTATAACCCCCTGTTGTTTTAAACTTTTTCACATGAGCTACTTTGACAGCATTGCTGCTGAAAGGGTGGCATAGAAATCCTGCAAACAAGTACATATTTTAGCATCTAAATAAATGAAGCCTCTTCTTGGGGAATTAAATAAATAAACAGCTCAGAGCAATAAAAGAATCATTTAAAATATGCAGCAGTCATTAAAAGAAATAACATTTGCAAGAATGCAGGAGCAGCAAGATTTCCCAGTACTGAAAGTATTTCTAATATATCCACCTGAAGCCTCAAACTTTGTAAAAGGGTGGCTGGTGGGCTTGAATGATGGGGTTCAAGGGCAGGGAGCCCTTAATGAACTCGGCAAGCTCCAACCGCTTGGGCTCATTCTCCCCAAAGCATTCCCCGCCCCCCAGTCACCACCCACCTAAAGCAGCAACTAAGGGAGCAGTTACAGAAGGTGTGAAGCCAGGACCTTCTCTGAGTGTTACTACAGTGGTACCTTGGTTCTCAAATGCCTTGGTACTCAAACAACTTGGAACCCAAACACTGCAAACCCAGAAGTAAGCGTTCCAGTTTGTGAACTTTTTTCAGAAGTTGGACCCGCTCCATTTTGGGTGTTAAGCTTCCGTTTTGAGTGCCACACTTCCGTTTTGAGTGTTACACTGAGGTCTGTCTGTTTTTGCTAATTATTTTGCGTTTTTGTGGCTCTTTTTTGTTTTGTTTTTGTGACTGTGTGGAACACAGTGATTGCGTGACTGCAGTACATTGTTTATTGCTTACATTTTATGCATCAATGGTCTCGTTAGATAGTAAAATTCATGTTGATTTGCTGTTTTAGGGGTTTTTTAAAAGTCTGGAACGGATTCATCCATTTTACATTACTTTCTATGGGAAAGCACGCCTTGGTTTTGGAAGGCTTTGGTTTTGGAACAGACTTCCAGAACGGATTAAGTTTGAGAACCAAGGTACCACTGTATTGGGTATAAATCTGGTGTTTGTCCACAGAGGGCATAGACTTTGGGGGTGGATGGACACAGATACTTGTGTAATAACAAAAAAGGTTCCATCTGAATGGCACACCCCATAGCTCAGAAAATAAACCCAAGTGGCTTGCTAAATTGCCACCCTTCTACAGGCACAGTACCACTGCCTTTAAATGTCTGTATTAGCCCAATCAACACCACAATGCAGATTCCCATATGCAACAAAGTGTGTCTACAGTCAGCACAAGTCCCCCACACGACACTCACTCCCACCGTCACATCAGTAGCTTTTTCAGATGATAACACGTTTCTCCTTTTTTTACCCACTTTGGCACATCTTCAGCAATATCCTCCAGCAAATCAAGCGATTCCCTTCTTGGGATGTTTTCAATCTGTTTTATGTTGATTTTAATTAAAGAATTTGAAACCGAACAAACAGTTCGTAGCAGGTGGCTACACAAGTGTGAAATAAGCAAACTGTTTTATCTGCCACAAAAGTCCGCCAGTAAATTTCTTCAAATTAATCTGAGCCTTTGAAAAGCCGGTTGATTCCGACCAAAACGCTCGGTGATATGGTCTCCCCCCGTTTCCTAAATATTTGTGTCTCCATCCCTATCTTTAAGGAGCTGCTTCATGAGAATATTGTGATGCTGTTGTGATAACAAGAATTGTGCTTACAGCTGTAACTGAGTGGTGTTGTTGTTTTTTTGGGAAAGGGGGAACTGACTCTGCTGCCGTTGCTTCCAGCGTTGAGTGCTATTACCCTACAACGCATCTGCTGGAATAACATCACAGCCAAACTGGCATCCAAAATTTGGATTGTAAGCAGAACATTATTGATGTAGACATCTGTACACTGGAAGCGTGGAGACATAAAGGCATGCAGGTCTTGATGACCACACAATTTAAGTTACCTTCCTTTGCCTTCATCTGCTTGCCTTTTCCTCACCATTGGCTACTTTCCAGTCCTCAGGTATGGAAGCTGATCTGAGGGACAAGTTACACATTTCTGTTAGGAAATCAGCTATATTGCATTTGAGTTCTTTGAGAGCTCTTGGGTGGATGCTATCCAGACCAGGCAATTTGTCGGTTTTTACTTCGTCTATCATCACCACTATTTGCCTCTGTTCACTAGACTTCCTTCCTGCAAAGGTTAGTTCAGGCACAAGGATCTGCCCTGTATCTTCCACTGTGATGACAGATGCAAATAATTCATTCAGCTTTTATACCATCTCCTTCTCCTCATTTAACACACCTTTGGTTCCCTTGTCATCCAAGTGTCCAGCCACCTCCATAGGCAGTCTCTTTCTCCTTAAGTATTTAACAAACTTCTTGTTGTTGCTCTTTATGTTTCCAGCAATGTTCTCCTCTGACTGCTTTTAAGCATCCTTTATTGTCTGCCTGCATTTCTTTTGCCAAAGTGTGCGTTCCTTTTTGTTCTCATCTGGACAAGGTATCTGCTTTTTGAAGGAAGCCTTTGCCACTCTGATAGCTTTTTTGACTCTCTTCATTAGCCATGCTGGCATTTTCTTGGCCCTGGTGGTAACTTTCCTGATCTGCAGTACACACTCTAGTTGAGCTTCTAATACTGTGCATTTCAAAAACTCCCAAGCATTTTGCAGCGATCTGTCCCTCTTGACTTTTCCTTTTAAATACTCTTATTTCAGTCCCTTCATTTTGGGGGTGTTTTCTCTTTTGAAGTCAAATGCTACCATGTTGGATTTTTGTGGCAATTGGCCATGTATATTAAATTTAATAGCACTTTGGTCATTGCTCCCAATTGGTTCAACAACACTTACATCTCCCACCAGGTCCTGGGCACCACTCAAGATTAAGTTCAGAGTAATATTATAATGAGGCTGTTATTGGAATGATATTGGGACACACACACACACACACACACACACACACACACACACATATATATATATATATATATATATATATATATATATTCAGCCATACCATCCTTCTGGTCATTTCCATGGCTGATGGTTCTAGGACACAGTCATTTAGGGTGTCAGGAAATTTTGACAGGAACACATATGTAGCCAATCTATGTGAGGGTTGTTGAAGTCACCCCATGTCAGGGACTGGACTCAAGAGGGTAAGACAGAGGAGGAATGGTGGAAAAGCACACACAGCCTTCTCCTGACGCTGCAGGAGAAGAGGAATGCAGCATTTATTTACAGCAGGGGGGTGAGGGGTTTGAGAAAAGTCACAGCTCAGAGAGAGATGAACAGAAGAGTTAGGAGGTGTTAAAAGAAGGCGGGGCAAGACAGAGGCAGGGCAGCCAGCTGACGTTGTCACTGGAGAGTATTTCTGACACACACACCCCTTCTCCCAGCCAGCTGACATGTTGTCAGTGGAGTGTATTTCTGACCCCCCTTCTCCCAGAACTCAGTGTTCATTAAGAGTACAGGAACGAAGGAATCAGAGTCATTTGGCCACAAGCGGCCACCATAAGGGAAGATGCTGTTGCTAGGAAGGAAGGAGGAGGAACCCAGCTGAAGCAATGCCATTGTCCTGAAGTGAAGGACATGAGTCAGGAGTTGGTAATGCAGGTGAGCTGTGCATAAGCAAGCTGCCAGCGAGCTCTGCCGAGGCTCTTTTTATTAGCACAATATGCAAAACTAGTTACAGTGGTGCCCCGCAAGATGAATGCCTCGCAAGACGAAAAACTCGCTAGACGAAAGAGTTTTCCGTTTTTTGAGTCGTTCCGCAAGACGAATTTCCCTATGGGCTTGCTTCGCAAGACGAAACATCTTGCGAGTTCTTGTGAGTTTGTTTCCTTTTTCTTAAAGCCGCTAAGCCGCTAAGCCATTAATAGCCCTAAGCCACTAAGCCGTTAATAGCCGCTAAGCCGCTAATAGCCGTGCTTCGCAAGACGAAAAAACCGCAAGACGAAGAGACTCGCAGAATGGATTAATTTCGTCTTGCGAGGCACCACTGTAGATACATTTTGGACTGTGCCCTTTACATCTTCCAACCATGAGATCATGGGGTGGTACAAAGTTATTTTGGCACCTGTTCCCACCGTGTCACTTTCCCCTTGAACAATGAATGGCGAAGGAGACAAAGGTCACAGACAGGGCATGGCAGACCACTGAGAAAGCCAAAGGTTAGACAGAGGGCATGATGTTCAGACAGCTGTGGCTTGTCTGCGGGTGGAAGTGTGCTCCACACCCAGTGGTCATTCCTTCAGTCCGGCTTCCTGCGTTCTTTTGTCTCTCATTATTATGACTGAATAAACTCACTAAAATGGACTCTACCTTGATTTCTCTGCTCTTGCTGCAACCGGGGGGAGGAATAGCTTTCCCAAAGCCGTGACACCCATTACAACATTTCCTCTTTTAGCTGTTCCCTTGATTTTATTCTTTATCTCAAGATCTGGGGGACAATAGCACCTCCCTAGTAAAGCATTGCTCTCAGGGCCTGGTATCACCACTCCTAGTGACTCCATAGAGGAGTCTGCCCCTTTGGGGATTTCTAGCTTGCTAGAATCAATAGCCTCTTTGACATACAGAGCAACACCACCTCCACTACATGATCCTACCTTGTCCTTCCTATGGTACACCAACACATTGTTACTGTGTGTACAGGACCATGCAAATCGCCCCAATGCATTCTAAGCTGCCACAGGAAATCTGTTTTCAAATGATAAACAATTAATATTCTAAAAAGAAAATACAAGCTTTGCCTTTAAAAAAAAACAAACCCTGTTAAGAGACAGCTGACTATTCCAGAAAGTCAGCTATGTACACTATCAACAATACTAAACTCTTCTGAACAGACAACGAACAATGGCTTTTCTGCTCAGTGCTCATGTGTGTGAAAAGGAACATACCAAAAGCAAAAGAGAGATCGATGCACATCTGCATATTATGCGCACCTACCCCCACTTCCTGGCTGAGGGCCCACCAGTGGAAGCCAGTGGCTATTCAGCCTCAGCTTGCTACTTTCTGGTGGCCACAGATAGCAGCATCCCCGTCCACAGGTCGATCAGTACAGTACAGCTTCCACCAATGAACATCCTCTCTCCATCCTACCTGCACAGCTAGACTGAGGAGGCGGCTGTGCTGCTTTCAGCCTTGGAATTCTGGCTGGCCTGGCTCAACCTGGCTTCCCCAGCCCCTCAGCGAAGAATTTCCAGCGGGGAGGGGGGCGGATGGCCAGTTTCCCAGCTTCCTCTCTGCTCAGTCCTGAAGACTTTGGCAAGGTGGCATTTCTCTGCAAACAAGAAGCCTCTTTCTGCATTAACCTTGAGGATACAAAGACAGTAAAGACCCTTTTATCTTGGCAACAGGCTGTGCATACTGATCATCCGTTCCCCCCTCCACCACAAGCAGAATGCAAGGCCCCCCATGCCCACAGGCCTTTCTTCTGGAAAGTCTGCATTGGAGAGAGGGGCTGGGGGGGGTGAGAACCGCTTGCTTCTCTCCAGCTCCCAGGCCTGCCCTCTTTTTTAAAAAAACAAACAAACCACACACACACACCTTATCAGCATCTCTCCACAGCCATATTTGATTATCCAGAAATATCAACAGCAAGGATAAAAATCTGAAGGCAACCCAGTGGGGGCCGGGGGGGGCAGTCACATCTCCTTGCAACTGAGCTCATTCCAGGTGTCCCTCAAGAGAGAGCTGAAGATGGGGGCAATCTTCTCTCCCCACCCCCACCCCTCCCATGCAAAGAGAGAAATGCCACTGCCTTTGAAACAGGAATAATTGCGTGTTGTTTTTTTCTTGTCTTCAAGACAGGCCCCTCTGCCAAAACTAGCTGGGTTTTCAATCTTGCAGCATGCCTCCAAAACATCCAGAGACTACCTGCTAACTCTGCTACCTACATACCTGCCAGAATTTGAAGATCCAAAAGAGGGAGGGTGAGTAGAAATGTAAAAAAGAAAGCAATAATTCTGCTCTGGTTATAAATTCTGAGCCTTCTGAGCATCTCTTGAATAGCCAGCAGACAAAGCAAACAAGATCTACTGCCTTTATCCTATAAAGTTTTATGTAGCCAAAGGGCTAAGCAGCTGAAGAATGACCTCCTCTATGGTCAGCCATTTTGTGCCCTTAAGACAGGAGAGGCTCTGCTCATAATTCCATTCTTACAAAGATCTGATGAAGTACAACAACAACCTTGTAAAATATACAGTTTTGGCTCTCCCCCCCCCCTCCATTGTTTTCCCTTCTGCACGGGTTCTGTTTCTCTTTTTCTTTTTCTCTTTTTTGCTCGCATCTCACCATGTTTGGTATACATATAGTTATGCACTTTTTGAACTTTCAGTAAAGATGTTACCTCAAAAAAATCCATTGACGGTGCAACAATGTGAAACAGGGCCTTCTCCATTGTGGCACCCCAGATGTGAAACTCCCTTCCACATGGAGATCCAGCTATTCCCTACATCATCTGTTTTTAGGTTTCTCTTTTTATGTGTTCATGTCCCAGGCTTAGAGATTTAGCTGATGTGTGAGAGGGATCTGCCACTAGATTGGCAGAACTTCTGATTTCGTGGGTGGGGGGTGACATCTGTTTTATATTGCTTGTTTTATGGTTCTTTTATTGATTTATAATATAATTGAATATATTTTAATGTACCACCTTGGAAACCTTTGGGTTGGAGGAAATAATAATATTACAGTAAGCCCACAACTTACACTAGGGTTGCGTTCTGGAGATCATGCCTAAAGCCAAAATTGCTTATATTCAAAACACACTGAGTTCAATGGTGGGTGGAATTACCAAAGTCTATTTTCCTGGATGCCCACCTGCTTTCCGTCCCCTTTTTTATTGTCAGGAGTGAGCCAGCAGTACACTGTGCAAGTTGAAGTTAACTTTTTATTAGCAAAAACATGATCTTCATAGGAGTGTCAGGCCTAAGGAGAACAGCAACTCATCTCCAGTAGGTCTTTCCCCTATGAAGCAATTGCTAAGATTAAAGGTACCCACCTCCCCACAGCTTCCTAAGTCCCCTCCTCTCCAAGTTTCCCCCCCAAAGAATCTGTGCATCGCTAATTTCTCCTCCACCATTTTCATGCCTCTTCTGGTCCATGGAGACAAGGGGAGAGGGGAGCTTGTTGCAGCAGGAGGGGAGACACAAATGACTCTCCACCAGCCTGGCTCATCTCTGCCTCTTGGCCTCCTTCCTCTCCTGCCTCAGCTTCTGCCTCTGATTCTGTACTTCGCTCTGCCACAGACTCTCCTTGCTCCCTAAGTCCTGTTACTTCTTCAGCTTCCGACACTTCCTCCCAGTCTTCTCCTTCTGACCACTCATCATCATCCCACCACCAGTCCCCAGACTCTGAGCCTTCTTCCCTTGAGGGTTCCCCAGCTGGTTCCTCCCACCATTTCTCTGAGCCCAACCAGTCCATTACATTCATTCATCCATTCATTCATCCATGCCAAGCATTTAAAGCTGAATGCACACAAGTTAAATGTGCATAAGTTGCAGGCTTACTGTAACAGCAGCAGCAACAACAACAACAACAAATGATATCATGCAAATGAAAGATCAGGGCAAAAGGTACCAAAGGCACTGAGGAAAGGAGCACCTAGATCTGTGCTCAGATGGAAAGGAGCAGTGCAGCAGCCCCTTTACACCTTAATCCGGCAGTTCTCAACTTGTGGGTCCCCAGATGTTGTTGGATTATAACTCCCGTCATCCCTGAGCTCTGGCCTTGCTAGCTAGGGGTGATGGGAGTTGTAGTTCAACATCTGGGGACCCATGGGTTGAGAAAGGTTGCCTTAATGAATCACACACACACAGCGTACACTGCTCAAAGATGTACTGGCACCCCAGGCCAAAGGATCTCCTCCTAGGTTGCATCATGCTCAAGATCAAACAGATGGAGTGGCTTCAGAATCTACCGCTAAGTCCACTCCTGGCCCTGTGGCCTCTGAAATGCTGTGTGTAGCAACAGAAGGCGGCATTTGAACAAATGTGGAGCAGACCAGTTGGCTGCTGAGAATCTGACCAAACCCACAC